CCTCCCTACTGTGCATCCTCTCCTCCCTTCAGCCCTCTGTCTCCCTAAGTCCTGACTAGACGCCAAAAAATTTCTCCACCAGCCTCTTATTTGCTTGCTTTATCTCTGTCTCTTCATTCCACATATAAATGAACAAAGCACCTAATGATAACCTCTTAGTGTAAAAATGCACTCATACGATAGAATTAAGTAAACTATAATCCAAAAAGAACCAGTGTCCCTAATGCTAAAGTCTCTTCAAAGAGCAATGTGGTCTCCACAATAAACCTTTTCTTGCTCCCCTATTTTTTTTTTTTTTAAGTTTTCAGGCTGTTCAATTCGTTTAAGACTTTACTTTGAACTGCTCACTTAATAGGGAATCACAGCCGGCACAGCCGGGCTCGGTGGCTCAGCCTGTAATCCCGCGCCTTTGGGAGGCTGAGGTGAGTGAATTGCCTGAACCTGCGGGTTCGAGACCCACCTGGGCAGTGAGACCTCATCTCTACAATATATCAAAAAATCAGCCGGGCGTGGTAGCACATGCCTGTAATTCCGGCTACTTGGAAGGCTGAGGCAGAAGGATCGCCAGAGCCCAGCAGGTCGAGGTTTTGGTGGCCGGGAGCGGCCACTGCACTCCAGTCTGGGCGACAGAGTGAGACTCCAACTCAAAAAAAAAAAAAAATAGGGAATCACATTTGATTCAAGGTTAGGAGTCAGGCAGAGGAGGCGTCTAATATTTTGAACCTAAGAATGTAGGATGGTGGTTTGCATAGTCACTGAAATAGAATCACAGGAAGATGGTTTGAGGCTAGGGGAACTGGAAGTTTTTGAACATATAAAGTATGATGTGTTTTGAGGATACTTAAGTAAAGAGGCCCAGTCAATAGTTGTGAGAGTCTGTCTTGCTCCCCTATTAAACATGATTAAGCCCCATCAGTCAAGATTAAAACAAAACAAAACAAAGCAAAACTTTATTTAATTTTTTGTTTCCTTTAATATGTTACAACTATATTATTCTCTGTTATTTTAATGGCAATTTATGGAATTTGGGTGCCTAGCATAGAGCTTTCAGAACCTTGCTCATAGTTTTGCATGTAACAGGTATTCGGTAAATGTTTATTAAATTAAGTTATGTACTCCCATACTTGATAAGCTTTGCTAGGAATTTAACAACTTATATAGTGCTATTGCTCTGAGGATATAGTCCAAATTCAAAACAACTAACGCCATTCCTTTGTAGACCAGAGTGTCTGCTTAGAAGCAAGCATCTCAGGAACTGGAATTCCTTCCTGCCCTGCACTTAACTGCCATATCAGATGCAAACTTTACTCCATGCATACTGTATTGAGTCAATGAATTATTGCCATCAGCTCCTCTCTCACTATCCTCTCATAACATCACCTTAACATACTGAACATTGACCAGTTCCCCACTCTCTTTTTTTTTTTTTTTTTTTTTTGAGTAGGAGTCTCACTCTGTCGCCCAGACTGGAGTGCAGTGGCCGCTCCCGGCCACTGCAGCCTCGACCTGCTGGGCTCCGGCGATCCTTCCACCTCATCCTTCCAAGTAGCTGGAACTACAGGCGCGCGCTACCACACCCCGCTAATTTTTTGATTTATTGTGGAGATGAAGTCTCGCCAAGTTGCCCAGGCGGGTCTCGAACCCGCGGGCTCAGGCAATCCACCCACCTCAGCCTCCCAAAGCGCTGGGATTACAGGCTGAACCAGCGAGCCCGGCTCAGTTCCCCACTCTCAAGTGTTTCCTGGTTCTCTAACCCCTTCCCGAAACATCACAGGTTATGGTAAAATTTTGCATCATCTATTTGCTTTCTCATGCCCTTGAATGTAATTCAGTAGGTCACTGCTATTAGTTCAACCAGTATAAGACACAAGATTAATCCAGGTCCTTAGAACAGTATTTGAAAAAAGTCCTTCTTATCCAAGCAAGCTGGTTTTGCAAATAATGAAAAAGATAAGAAGAACAAAGAGGGCCTGCTTTATCCCTGAGTAAGTAAGTCACAGACTTGTTAAAGATGTACAGGGGTGGTTATTTAATACTTCCTGAGACAGATTCCACGTGCCTTTTACCTTGAGTGCTCTCTATATGTAAAACAATGTTCACTCCAGCCTCATAGAGTTGCTGTAAGCAGCAACACCCTTAGGCCCAGAACTTGAGAGGGCCCCATACTTTAGAGGGCCCAGTTGTGGCCTCCTTCCAGCTGTGCCCCTCCCTGTGGGGCAGGGAGTTTAGGGGAGAAAGAGAATATGTCCATCTGGAGACCATGCTCCTCACCTCCACCTCATGATCTTGGACCACAGAATTCCCTGAGCAAATGGCTTTGAACCCAGTCCCAGGGAATTCTTGGGGTCTCTTTGTCAGGTCCATCTTCCCAAGGGATGACAGTGCTACCCAGCCAGTGTATACCTCTAAACCAAAGGGATGACCAGGACATGGCTGTTTGCTGGAAGCAAGGATGAAGGGTAGATGGAACTGGTAAGGAAGAGAGCAGTACAGGTGCCAAAGCCAGTGGCCAGCTCTTCCTGAGTCACCATGTCCCAGGGCAGAACTTGGAGTACCCCAGGAAGTCCACATTTGAACCTGGTCTTCCAGGTTGTTACAGAGGTATTTTGTCAAAGTAGGAGAATGGAGCATATTTTATTTGACAGTTTATTTGCTTGATATGTAAGTTAAGCTATTTAGACAAGTGGAATATGGCCTTCATTTGTACCATAGCCCCAGGCCTTACAAATGTGAAGGGTGGGCCTGGCTGTGAGGACAAATTCAAGGAATGTTAGTTCCATACTTGCCACCACCATCCATACCTCTGTTCCTGCTGCTTCTCTGGTCTCCACATCTCTGCATGGCATCAAGGCCCAGTTTCTGTGGTATGACATAACATGGCGTCTCCTCTCCTCTCTCCCCACTCCCAGCCCCATTGCCCTACTCAGCTGGAATCAATCTCTCCCAAATAATTCTGCTTCAACTTCTTTTATAACAAAGAGCTACTTTTCATCTTATAGTCATTTGTGAAAGGACATAGCATGGAGTTAATATAGCCAAAGCATAACCATTTTAACACTGCCTAGTTGTCATATTTTTCTAGAAGTTCACTTCAATTTACCCTCTAGGCTGGGCGTAGTGGCTCAAGCCTGTAATCCCAGCACTTTGGGAGGCAGAGGTGAGAGGACTGCCTGAGCTCAGGGGTTTGAGTCCAGCCTGAGTAACATGGCAAGACCTCGTCTCTACGATTAATCAAAAAATTAGCCGGGCGTAGTGGCGCATGCCTGTGGTTCTAGCTAGAAGGTTGAGGCCAAAGGATCGCCTGAGCCCAGCAGGTCGAGACTGAGGTGACAGAGTGAGACTCCAACTCAAAAAAAAAAAAAAAACAACAACTTACCCTTTACTCTCTAATCACTAGCCAAGGTCAAAACCGGTTTCTCAGAAGTCACTTTTGATCATTGTATTACAATCCCCTCCCCAGGTTTTTTTGTAAACAAGTTAACCTCCCACCACTTTGGGAGGCCGAGGCAAGAGACCAGGAGCAAACCTCATCTCCACAATAAGTCACAAAAACCAGCTGGGCATGGTGGCGTGCATTTGTAGTTCCAGCTACTTGGAAGGCTGAGGTGGAAGGATCGCCTAAGCACAGCAGGTTGAGGCTGCGGTGACCATGAGCATGCCGCTGCACTCCTGCCTGGGCAACAAGAGTGAGACTCCAACACACACACACACAAAGCAAGTTAACCTAATCAGCTCTTCATGACCTTCATAGCTCTTTGAACTACGGCCAAGCCATATTTTCCTAAGCTCTGCCCCCCTCCCCTACCTTGAGGAGGTAAATCTCCTCTCTCTCTATTTACTTTCTAAATAAACTATATTTTCCAATCTAACTTTTGTGCATTTCTTCACATCTTTCACATGGCATGGGATCACACCAGACACCCACACCTCCGGGAGGGTCTGACCTAACATTCTGGAGGCCCCATCTGGGAATATGGCCTAATATTTTGTGTCTTGCTTTGTCTCCCCTACTAGCCAATATGCTTTGGGAGGCAGGATTTGTTTCTGATTCATCTTGTTTCTCGCCACTATCGTGCACATATAGATGCTCAGTAAATATTTATTAAATATTATAAGAGAGATACTAAGACAAGGTGAATTTCTAAGCAAAACACTGTAATGAAACCCATTCATTCACTCATGTTATCTGCATAACTCTTTTAAAAATACAAAATAAAATTCTATAATTATGTCTGAAGAATGAAATTTTTATTTGCATCTGAGTGACAAACTATATCAGAAATTCATAAAATATATCAAATTGTTTCATTTCAGGTAGGGAAAGAAAAGTAGGAGGCACACAGTTTTGGCTAAATTTAGCCAAAAGAGCACCTTGGAGCCCTTTGTATTTCTTTTCTTTTTTTTTTTTTTTTTTTTTGAGATGGAGTCTCACTCTGTCGCCCAGACTGGGACTGGAGTGCAGTGGCCGCTCCTGGCCACCGTAGCCTCGACCTGCTGGGCTCCGGCGATCCTTCCACCTCAGCCTTCCAAGTAGCTGGAACTACAGGCACGTGCTATCACGCCCAGCTAATTTTTGATTTATTGTAGAGATGAGGTCTCGCCAAGTTGCCCAGGCGGGTCTCGAACCCGCGGGCTCAGGCAATCCACTCACCTCAGCCTCCCAAAGGCACGGGATTACAGGCTGAGCCACCGAGCCTGGCTTCCTTTGTATTTCTAATAAAATTTCACTGGAGACAGAGTATCAAGGGACAGTTCTCTAACATACTTTATCAAAGTTCCTGCTATGGCAAAAGACTTTTAGAAAAGACTTTACCATTTATTTGATAAGATAAACCACCACTCTACATACGGTTACAGTTATGGACTATTAGTTATTGCTGAAAGAAAAACAGTACCTGACTTCAGCTTAGAATTTCCTTTCCCCTTGCCTGCTAAGATAATGAATCAGCCTTATTCCACCAGATGACATTGTGTCAATAATCTTTATGTTCAAATTCTAGTTTCCTAAATATGTTGAGAAAAATAAGCCAGTATTCTACCCAAAACCTCCTAAAACCTTCGCTCCTAACACGTCCTTAAATTCGTGGGACCCTATTTACTCTGCAAAAGAAGCCAACATACGAAGGAACCTTGAGAGGTCACACTGGATCACTTCATACACTCATGATTTTACAGGTATGAGTTCACTTTAGTGCAAGTGAAAATGAGAACAAATTTGGAAGACTTAACACATGTTATTACAAGCTTTCATCTTCTGTTTCCCTGTTTCTCAATCTAAATATGAATAGGAATTAAGGCGGGTGTCTAAGTTTCTCTTGTGGGTAGCTGCGAGGTAGGGCTGGTTTCCATTCTGTTGGTTGTAATTATATTGCAAAGGGAAAGTGTCAATTTTTCTGTAAAGGGTAATTTAAGTCCTGTCTTTCATGTACTCTAACAAAATAATAAAACAATGTTTCCATTAAGGTCTGGGGCCCATGAACCCACTTGAACTGGATGATTATCATGAAAAGGAGGTAGCAGAGTTAACTGGACAGATAGGATTTGACCCAGAGCCTGTAAGTGATTGCAGTCAACTCTCAGTTATTTGAGGGGGCAGTATCCAGGTATTGGGCTCCCACCTGCATTGCCCACCTTTTGTGTTATGAGAATTGGCAACCAAGCTAGCAAAGGGAAAGTTTAACTCATTTTTGCTGTTAATTCTGAACTGGTTTCAATACCCCTGTCCACTGTTTGGAAAAACAAGCAAGATTTCTTTTCCTCTTCACAGTGCTTTTTTTGTTTACAGATATCCTACTATGCTACTGTTGCTAAAATACTTTCCAGCGGAATTGGTTTACTAAGAATTTAACTAGTAATTTAATGAGATTCTTAATCAATTCTGTGGATCATTGCATATTTGTATATCTTGTGCATTACCCATTGCTTTTGAAGAGATAAGGGCTTCCTCCTGATGTTCACAATAATTGAGAGTTGGCTGAGTTACAATCAAAAGCCAATAAATTATCTGCAAATATCAATAGAGACTTTTAACTGATTATGTGAAATGGTCTGGAAGAAATGATCAAACCCTTTAATTAGAGAAGGTATAATCTGTTGGCTAAATTATGTAAATGAAATTAATTGACCTAAAAGTTTGTGTCTATGTTTTTTTTTTTTTTTTTTTTTCTTTTTTTTTTAAGTTGGAGTCTCACTCTGTCACCTCGACTGGAGTGCAGTGGCCGCTCCCAGCCACCGCAGCCTCGACCTGCTGGGCTCCGGCGATCCTTCTGCCTCAGTCTTCCGGTAGCCAGAATTACAGGCACGCGCTACCACACCCAGTTAATTTTTTGATTTATTGTAGAGATGAGGTCTTGCCAAGTTGCCCAGGTGGGTCTCGAACCCGTGGGCTCAGGCAACTCACTCACCTCAGCCTCCCAAAGCATGGGATTACAGGTTGAGCCACCGAACCCGGCCCTGTGTTGTTTTATTTAAAGTCTAACTTTTATTCTCTATAGCTACACGTTTTTAAAACAAAATTAAGATTTTTTAAAGATGTAAACTCTGGAAAGATCCATAAAAAAAACAAGTGTAAGATTATTTTAGCTTGAACTCTTTTGAAAGACTGAGCAGAGCTCGTTAGTTTTACATTAGCTTCAATATTTTCTAAGGTGATGTAAAATCATAACATCAGAGGTGGTTCCATAGACTGCTTTCTCATTCAATGAAGGGGTTTTCATTGTTTCTGTTTCACTTGCAATGAGCATTCTCCAAAGCTGGAAAAGATTCTGTGAACACATATCATCAGGTATATTCAACAACTGTCCACATCTCCACAGATTTGACCCATAGGGTCGAGCCTCACAGGAAGCAATTTTATCACTTTTACAAAGAAATACATGTTCAGTTATACAAACAGTGCTTGCCGAGTATATTATATGCACAGTTATTGTGCAAGAAAATCAATACTTACAAATTTGTTAATAACAAGGTAAAATATATCTGAAACCACTGGAAGTTTAAGGGAAGAGAAAGTTGCAGCAAATCTTACTAGTTTCTGATTAAAAGCAGAGTCTAGGAAAGTATGTTTTAGTGGTAATAAAAATGTGTTGCAATATTGTGTTGTGGGAGTATAAAATAAAGGAACTAAAAACTTCTTACATAAATGGATGATGTCAAACTATGATATGATAAGTCCTATCCTTTTTTCATGACAAATTTAACAAAGCATGTAAAAGAGTTGCTTTCTTTTCTTCATAATATTTACTCAAACTTAATTGGCTAAAGGTTATAACATATTTGTTAATTACTCAGTAAGGACATTCCTCCAACAGAACAGATTAGGTTCTAAAAGATGTCCCTAGTCTATTTTAAGTCTAAGCTATAGTTATTATTTTCTCACCACTCCTATTTTTATCATCTCTGCTATCAATTCCATCATCTGAATCATGATTCTGATTCAGCCAAGGTTTAGGGACCCTTGCTTTGGCATAATAAAGAAATCTTTGGCTGAGAATTAAATAATTGCACACAACTGCTAATGCTATCTATTAGTGATGGCAGGAAGTTTTATTATTTTATATCTTTGAAGTTTGAAAGCAAAGAGTTCCCACGCAGAAGAGTTTCTGTAAGACCAAATGAGAAATATACCCTTCCCATATTAGTTAAAACCAGTTAAGGGAAAAAAAACATATTTATCTGGACTCAAATTTCAATGTCTTTAAATTAATATTAAAGAACACTGCAATGTACCCCTGTAACCATCTCATGTGAACTCAGTAAAAATGGGTATGACTTTTGACCTGCCACTTCTTGCAGTATTTTTATAATGCCGTATTTATTAATTAATTTTTCTCCTTTTTATCCCACAACTACAGCAAGAAAAATTCCATCCTGCCTTAAAACCTCCCAGGCCCTTGGAAGGACGAATTGCCCGACTGATTCAGAACCAGCGTCCTCTGGAGGCTATTGTCCAGCAAAGACCACCTTCCTGTCCAGATTGTACTCCTAGGGTTTTATGTACATTTCATACTTTTATACCCAGTTCCACAGAAATGATGGCACTTGGCGATAACACACCAGCTGGTGTGACCCATAAAAACCAGGATATTGAAGAGAAGATTAAGAAAGAACAGAGCTTGCTATCTACCTATCCACTCTCACCTTGTTACCCAACAAAAGATCTGACTAGCAATTATGACATAAAACCATTTCCAAAAATCACAGATACTAAAAAGACAGACGATTTGTACTGGAGACAGCTGTACTTTACCCAACCCATACCTTACTGTAAACCAAACCATTGCACTCACTGTGAACATTTTAAATCTTCCCTACATGATCAGGATACTACATGTCCAAACCCTGTTATCCTTAGTAAGCCTAGTATTTTACAAAACAAACTAGACACAGAAGCTTCCACTTTAGAACATTTTTTGAGGATGCCAGAAGAACAGTTGTGCTCGAACATGGAAAATGACGAAGAAACAAGACCCATTCTGGGTTGGATTCCTAGAGCCGGAGTGGCCAAGCCACAGACCAACTTGCTGGAGCTTAAGAATGCTTTTTCAAAAACTGATGCCCAAAATCGTTTCCATAAATCAATTCTAGAAGACCCTAAAGACCTCAGAGATAAGGAGCATTCAGGGATGAAACACCAATTCTATGGATATAATTCCTATTATTTCTATAATTGAGATACTCATTCTTCTCTTCAAAACCCAGCCTCTTGCAAGAAAAAATATATATAACAGAATTTCCTTCAAATTGCTGGATTCTGTTTTCTAGATTAAGTCATAAGGGCCTGGTTAATGAGGTTTATGTTTTCAGGAATTTAAATTAGGATCGGTCAGAGGAACCCAGAAAAGATGATGTCCTGACTTCTTGAAAAGTTTAAAATAAAATATTAGAACCAGAAAAATATGTATTCTTTAGTCTCATTTTCACATTATACTCCAAGGAAATTATACAAAATCATGAAAAACAATGTGTACCACAAAGTTTACATCATCGTTTTACAAAAAATAAAAATGTAAAAAGAACTCTCCTGCTTAATAATCAATGGATGACCATAAAAACTATATAGTACCTTAACAAAATAAATATGAGAACACTATTCTAATCTGTAAATGTTTGCACAAAATGATACTAGTTAGGAAAGACAAAACTTAAAAATGCCCAGTTAATTGAGGAATGGACAGTTCTACAAACTCTATTCATAAAGTAAATATGTGGACTCTATTCCTGTATATAAACATGTGGACAAAATAACAGTCAGTGAAAAGATAAATCCCCAGATTGTCTGCATACACACATTACAAATGGAGTATGTTCCTTTACCTTTAACCTTCTGATAGAGATACAACTATTTCTTTTATGCAGATAAGATTATTTTATTGTGAAGATCTAGCAATGGCTTTAATTAGTAACTGGTGAATTCTAATTGTAGCAAGAAAGGATGGCTTGATACCAACTATTCTAGAACCCCAAGTCATCATTTTTGGAAGGTGTTCACTAAAAATTTAGTTAACTTCATATACAAGTCAATATATTTAATGTGCCAAGAAGTACTTTTTTTTTTTTAGTTGGAGTCTCACTCTGTCACCCAGGCTGGAGTGCATGGCATGCTCACAGCCACTGCAGCCTCGACCTGCTGGGCTCAGGCAATCCTTCCACCTCAGCCTTCCAAGTAGCTGGAACTACAAGTGCACGCTACCATGCCTGGTTAATTTTTTAATTTATTGTAGAGACGAGATCTCGCCAAGTTGCCCAGGCTAGTCTCAAATCCCTGGGCTCAGGCAGTCCTCTTGCCTTGGCCTCCCAAAGTGCTGGGATTACAGGCTTGAACCACCGTGCCTGGCAAGAAGTACATTTTAAACGTAGTTTATCACGGAAAGCTCATGAGGAATTTAAACATTTTGTGAAGATTTCTTTATTTTAGTTTTTGTTTTATGGCTGTTATGTCATTCGGTTACACCCTCCTTAAAACTATTCTGGGCTAAAATTAGGGAATTTTTTCCAGACTATTCTATACAGCACGAGTTACATTAGGTATTGTGGAAGGCAAAATTTTACATGGTGAAATAATACTGGAGAGAGCTGGGCATGACAAAGTCAATCATATAACTTAATCACGAGATTTTCCAAAGCTTTTAGTACATAATGTAATTGGGAATGCCCAAGATGAGGGATAGAGTGTACACATTTCTTTCTTTTTTTTTTTTTTTCTTTGAGTTGGAATCTCACTCTTGTCACCCAGACTGGAGTGCAGTGGCATGTTCACGGCCACCACAGCCTCAATCTGCTGGGCTCAGTTGATCCTTCCACCTCAGCTTTCCAAGTAGGTGGAACTACAGTCGTACACCACCATACCCAGCTTTTTTTTTTTTTTTTAATTTATTGTAGACGAGATCTCACCAAATTGCCCAGGCTGGTCTCAAACCACCGGGGTTCAGGCAATCCTCTTGTCTTGACCTCCCAAAGTGCTGGGATTACAGGCTGAGCCACTGCACCCAGCCTACATTTCTTAAATAATCATTGATTCTTTTATTACAGAGTATATCATTGGATGGAATTCCAAAGAACAAACTTTGGAAGACATAACTCTCTAGTATAGAAATCTCTTAATTGCACATTTTTCCCTGGGTTGCATGGAAACTAGTTAGAAATTACATTCTATCCATGGCATTCACTCTGCCCACTTCCATGCAAGAAAGGCACAGCCTTCTCTCTTCAGACATTGTCATAGTCCTCCTCTAACTAAGAGGAAGTCAGCCCTCTCCCTAACTGTGCTCACTGTTAAGGCTAATGGATCTGGTATTATTTGGTGATAAAGAATGCCTATATTCCAAGTATGCTCATTAAAAGGTCAATTTTGAATATTATGAATGATGAGGCCAGGTGCAGTGGCTCACCGCCTGTAATTCCAGCACTTTGGGAGGTCAAGGCAGGAGGATCATTTGAGCCCAGGAGTTGGAGAGCAGCCTGGGCAATATAGTGAGACCTCATCTCTATAAAAAATAAAAATAAAAAATAGCTAGGCGTGGTGGCACACCTGTAGTCCCAGCTATTCATTAGGCTGAGAAGGGAGGATGGCTTAAACCCAGGAGTTCAAGATTGTGTGTGTTGAGCCATGATGGTGCCACTGCGCTCTAGCATGGTGACATAGTGAGACCTGGACAGAAAGAAAGAAAGAGAGAGAGAGAGAGAGAGAGAAAGAGAGAAAGAAAGAAAGGAAAGAAAGAAAGAAAGAAAGAAAGGAAGGAAGGAAGGAAGGAAGGAAGGAAGGAAGGAAGGAAGGAAGGAAGGAAGGAAGGGAGGGAGGCTTCCAGGTTAAGACAGATTGAATCCATGCATCTAATTTTACTTACTTATGAAAATGCACATTAAAGCTATAGTAAAGTTTATTATGTTGTTTTTTATTATTGTGCTTTGTTTTGTTTAGCCCTGCACACAAAAGTATAAACCAGCCTGGTTGATGGGGGATAGAAGCTAAGATATCAGGAGCATGCAAGACCTTAACTGGCTGAAGACAGTAAAACCCTCAATTGGCAGTGCAGCAAATCACCCAAGTGCCCCAGCAGGGTCTTCCAAAGGCTCAGGAACTCAATGCCAGGAGCCTTGGGGTCTGAGAACGAGGGCAGGGCTAGAGGTAGGGAGGTGGGCTGCTAAATTAAGGAAGATTGAGTGGAAGCAGAGACACGCTTGGCTCCCTAGTCCTCTCTCCCCCTGCACCTTCACCTACACTCCACAGAACGAGGCAACCGCCTTCCCTCACCCTGACGGAAGCCTGGGGAATTATTTTTCTAAAGAAAGGCAAAACAGGATTTCTGGCATAAAGAACACCAGGCATAGTTGAGGACTGGACACTGTTGTGAAAATGAGGAAAATTGGTTGTACCTATCAGGATTCCAGAAGGAAACAGACCCTCAAGAGATTTCACTGAGAGAAGTTTAGAGAAGGGACTATTTGCAAAGATGTGGACAGAGTTAAGGGAACCTCCAGGCTCCCAGGAACCAACAACAACAAGAAATCTTACCACTCCCAGACATTCTAGAAAAGAGAGGGACCCAATGTTACAGTACCTCCCACTGGCCCAACCCAACCAGAAGTTTAAGAGCAAGGAGACCTGGATGATACAGTTCTTAGAGGTCACTGGCTTAAGCAAAGAAGGGAGGAAAATGGATCTGGATGGGCAATAAAATAACCAAAACTGTGATTTTATACTGACTCCTGAATGCTGAGAGCTGCAACCCCCTCCTCCCTTTGGCTGCCAGAAAACTGACCCCAATTCTCCAGGAAACAATTTCCAGCTAAGGTTGAACAGGCGCCATTACCTTCTTATGTCAGTTTTCATATTGTAACAAGTGTCCTGTTCATGGTCTGCTTTGTGCCATGTTCACATTTTCATACCTTTTGTTGGAGATAGTGCTGTTAAGATGGCCCCCAGAGCCGGGCTCGGTGGCTCAGCCTGTAATCCCACGCCTTTGGGAGGTTGAGGTGAGTGGATTGCCTGAGCCCGCGGGTTCGAGACCCACCTGGGCAGCGAGACCTCATCTCTACAATAAACCAAAACATCAGCCGGGCATGGTAGCGCATGCCTGTAATTCCGGCTACTTGGAAGGCTGCGGTGGAAGGATTGCCGGAGCCCAGAAAGTCGAGGCTGCGGTGGCCGGGAGCGGCCACTGCACTCCAGTCTGGGCAACTTAGTGAGACTCCAACTCAAAAAAAAAAGATGGCCCCCAGGTGTAGTGTGGAAGTGCCACCTAATGTTCCAAAACACAAGAAGGTCATGATGCACCTTACAGAGAAAAACATGTGTGTTAGATATGCTTTGTTCCATCATGAGTTCCACCATAAGCTCTTGCCCATGAGTTCAGTGCTAATGAAACAACAATATAGTACACTCAGAGAAAGAGATAGTTTTCTGATCTATATGTGAGGCCACTCCAGAAACTGCTAAAGTAATATTTACGGTGCATAATTTTTTTTTTGAATGGGAGTCTTACTCTGTCACCCAGGCTAGAGTGCAGTGGCACATTCATGGCCACCACAGCCTCGACCTGCTGAGCTCCAGCGATCCTTCAGCCTCAGTCTTCCAAGTAGCTGGAACCGCAGGTGCGCACTACCACACCTGGCTAGTTTTTGATTTATAGTAGAGGTGAGGTCTTGCCAAGTTGCCTGGGCTGGTCTCGAACCCACGGGCTCAGGCAATCCATTTGCCTCGGCCTGCCAAAGTGCTAGGATTACAGGTTGAGCCACCGAGCTCGGCCTATGGTATATAAATCTAACAAAACATTCCCAAAACTAGTGTGCTGAAGAATATACAACATTGATAAAATAAATCAAAATAGGTACAAATAAATGGAGAGATTATACCATGCTCATGATTAGAAGACTCAAAGATATCAATTCTCCTCAAATTCATATGAAGATTTAATGCAATTCCTACCAAATCTCAGCAAGATTTTGTGTACATGTAGGCAAAATTATTCAAAGGTTTATATGAAAGGCAAAAAACAAACTAGCTATTCTGACAGCTAAACAATTTTGAAAAAGAAGAATAAAGTGGGAAACGTCAAGTCTTGATTTCAAGATGTATTATATATTAATAGCTATAGTAACAACACTATGTGGAGGGATAAACATATAGATAATGAAAAAAACAGAAAACACAAAATAGACCTACACAAACATACTCAACTTATTTTTGACAAATATACAAAAGCAATTCAAGGAGAAAAGATAGTCTTTCCAGCAAATGGTACTGAAGCAATGGAACAGTCATGAGGGAAAAAACCCTTGATCTAAGTCTCAAATTATACAAAAATTAACTCAAAGACTGCAGACTTAAATGTACAATGTAAAACTATAACACTTTTAGGAAGAACATGGGAAAAAAATCTTTGGGATCTATGGAGTCCTTAGACTTGTCACCAAACACATAATCCATAAAATTAAAAAATGGTAAACTGGACTTATAAGGTAGCTACAACCCCCACTCACCCCTCCCCGCCCCTTTCCCACTAATCAATATAGGAAACTGCCCCTCAGGCCTGCTTTAACATTGCAAAGCAAGAAGGCCACCTGCTCTAACTCCCCTCAAGCCTGTTTTCTTTTTTTTTTCTTTTGAATTGGAGTCTCATTCTGTTACCAAGCTGGAGGGCAATGGCTCTCCACTCCCCTCCCTGTCACCACAGCCTCAACCTGCTGGGTTCAGGCGA